TTATTCAAATATTTGATTGGAAAGAACAAGTTTTGAAATGAAATTATTACCTTTATAAAAGTTTAATGAAACAATTATACAGCAAGCAAAATGATTTCAAAAATGAAGGAATAAGATATAGTTGTAAATTAAGTTTCGAGGATGAAACTTTTTATAAATGGAGAAAATGTAATATCCCAGCCCAAATAATAATTGGGCTAGATTATTACTAAAGCCCATTAAGTTAATTAAGAGGTTAATTACTAAAGAAAAAATGGTTGAGTGTTTTACCAAAGAAAATACTTAGTATCATGAAACACAAAAGAAATTAAAGTTCTTCTTTTTCATTTTTCTTAGGGTAAGAAAGCATGAAAAATCAAGTTGGAGATTCAAAATCAGAGGCTACAATCAAGTTAATCCCCTAAAGGTGAGTATATGCCCTCTTTTTATTTAAAAAAAAATATCATATTGATTGTTGTTATATGGAGTTAAAGTTTTGATAGAAAAATCAAGAAAAATTATGAAATCTTTCGTTAATCTTCATGATCTATTTAGGTAAATTATTGGGCTTTTTTTATTTCATGTTTTTAAGGTTTATTGATGATTATTGAAAGGAGTTTAAAAGCTGAAAGTGAGGATTTAAGTTTTTAAAAATTAAATGAGAAATTATATTTTTGGATGAGACTCTATGATCTATAACAGTGAATTAAAATAGAATTTTGTATTAATTGATAGATTATTGCTATAAGTATTTTATATTGCTGGAAAGCTTGTTGAATCTATTTTTTAATGAAATAAACAAAAGTCGAATCTGAGTTTTCTATGGAGAGTTGTCTAATTTTTATTTAAGGATATGTAGCCTATAAGGTAGCAACATCAAGGTTAAATTTTAAAAATTATCTTAATTTTTATACAAAGATTTACAGATTAAGCCATATATATTTGGAAAGCTTAAGTTTACTTTTTAATGAAATAAGCGGAATTGAATTTGAAGTTTTCTATGAATAAATATGTAATTTTTATTAGAATGTATACAGGCTATCTGATAGCAACACATGATATGGATTTAAAAAATTATTATAGTTAATCTACAAAGAATTACGAGGTGGGCTATATATGATTAGAAAGCTTATCAAGTCTAGGTTCTAACAAATTAAAGAGATCTTAATTCTGATTGGATATCTTGAGATATGGCTATTTTAGTAAAAAGAGCTCAGGTTGTTAGTATTAATTAGTTGAGTTAACCATTGTTTAACTTAATTGTTTTTAGTATCATTGGTCTCGAAATGGGTTGAGTAATTTTTATTATGTTGAAATTATCTTGAATAGGTCATTAATTATTTTGGGGAAAAAACTAAGTGGTAGAATCGAAATGAGGTAAGTAGAATCTCACACATTTTACTTATTTTTCGAATCTATATATATATATATATATGTATGTTTTTAAATGAATGAATATTTTATTTCATTATTTACAATGTATGAAAATATGATCAAACATATGATTATTTTGTGCTTCTCTATATAAACGATGGATCGTACTTATAAATGAAATGAAAAAAATTATTTATATTTAAAGAAAGATTTTATGATAGCTACGTTTTTACATCCCTGAGAAGTGGGATCATCGACACCAGAACTAGTTCTACGGTCCTGGCTAACGAGTTATAATAATTAGCATAGACATGATTATACGACCCTACTAACGGGTTATAGTAGTTAGCGTAAGGTCCTAGCTAGTGGGTTATAATAATTAGTAATGATCATGATGATGAAATTGTCGATACAATCAATGTCACGATAACAGTGACCATAACTAACGATAAATGAATGATAATGATGATTTATGATTATTTTTTTAAATTGATCCATGATTTGATGATATGTTTTGATATTGATTTATGAACTATGAATGCTTGACAGAATGCTGATGTTTGAATTATTTTTGACATTATGAGTTGATGAATGTTTTTAGAATGATCTATATAATAAATATGAAAATGATATTTGATCCGATAAAATGTGTGAGCTTATACTTGTTGAGCTATATACGTATGAAAATGCTTATTTTCTTTTTATTTTTTCTTTACAAATAAAAAAGTGATAAGTTTGCTTAGTTTTGTGAAAAGTTAGAAGATCAAATGGAAAAGATTACTTAATCATCAAAGATAATGTTGGCCAATGAGATCTTATAAAACTGTTTTGTATTTTTATATGATTTGCATTTGAATATATAGAGATGTATCATTAGTTAGATTAAATATATAGATTTTACTTGACAGACTATATTAGTTTATTGATGAACTTTAGAATGATTAAAAAAATTTTTTTTATTACTTTGAGGTTTACTTCAAAATAATATGATTATATTGCGTTTTGGTATCAGGACGTGACAATAATAGTTGTTAAAATAGGTGGATTACTCATTTGAAGCCAAATATCTATTAAGGTCAAAGGTTAGCTACCAGATTATGATGAACACGCTTGGAAATGAGTCCAAATTACTCCTAGTCGAAGGTTGAAGCCACGTGAAAATATTTAATCTTGCAAAAAATCTAGTCCAAAATAATTAAATAATTAATTAAACGTTTATTTTGGTCACTAATATATTAAAAGTTATAACCAGATTGTAATTTTCATAGTTAAATGATCAAAATAAAAAACTCTAAGATTGAATGATTAAACATGTAATTTACAAAAAAAAAAAAAAAAATCATACAACCAGTTTTCCTTTTTGGCTCAAAGTCTTTTGTTTCTCTGGTCAGACTGTAGATTTTGTTTCACTTTCAGAGCTTGATTAAGCTTCTCAGAGCACGTTATTTTGAACGGATGAAGTTTAGGTAAGCAAATAGAATGTGAATTAAGCATATTTTCTAGCTTTGACTAATTGTTGATGCATGAACATTCAGACAGATTTTATCAGCCTTTTGCTTAGGATGCAAGAAATAGAACATTTAACTGTTTTGCGTAGTTGACTATATTGGCAGTGACTTGCAGGAAAAAAAAATGTGACATTGTAATATAATTATTAATTTTCCTTTGTCATTTTCAATTTCAAGTGAAGATAGAGAGTAACTGTTTGGAAAATGAAGCTTGAGAAGTACCCTTGGAGTTCATTTTATCATTTTCAGAGACCATTGATTGATGGATTTAAAGATATAATCTTTTGGTTTATTTTGGTGAATCAAATTTCATTAATTCGTAGTATAGAAGACAACTTATTGGTGGAGGTGCTTGGTGTTGAGATAATTATTGTAAGGAGATTAGGGAGTGATTCTCAAGTTCTGTAGCAAGAAAAGTTACAGAATAATCAAATCAGAAAGCCATGTCTAGATGGGCTTTTACTGGGTAAATTATGGTTCATTTAATGGAACTGAACCAAAAGCCAACCCACTGTTTTCACTATTATTATTATAAGGCAAAAGTAGATAATGCACACAAAATGGGAGGTTCAGGAAAGCTTCCAGTGTAAATAGAAGATACAAATGAAGCATCTTGTCTTTCCTTCTTCCACTGAGAAAACAGGGAAAAGATGATTGCATTCAAAGCCATTCAAGCCTCCTTTGCCCCCAGTAAGCAAGCTTTTCTCCACACAAAAAGCTTGGCATACACAAAGAATTCCATCCTGTCTCACCCAATCCAATGATTCTGATCCCGGGTCCTCATCACCAGAAGGAGACACTCGTAAGCAGGAGCTGCTTGCCCAAATAGCAATGCTACAGGCTCAAAAAGTTCATCTCACTGACTACTTGGATGAACGATCTGGCTATCTCACCCAGTTTGCTGAAGAAGCCAATGCTGAGTTTGATAAAGTTGGAGAAGACGCTCTCAGAGGACTTGAAGAAGCCGGTTAATGGGTAGGGTCTTTAGAGCACTCTTAATTGTCTATGTTAAGTAGAGAAAGAAGAGTGTTTTGGTTGAGATGCAATCTCCTTGACAACCCATTTCTTATTCATTTGTTCTAAGCAGATAATGGAGAACATTGACAGCCAAATGCAAGCCTTAGAAGAATCCCAAGAATTGAACAGACAGGAGACGGAGAAGACTGAAGACCAATTAGCATAATTCGAAGGTCAAATTGAGAAAGACAGCAATGAAGGGTTGTTCTTTAAGAACCTGACAGAGAAAAAGCCTACAGACAAGGCAAAAGCAAAGGAAGATGGGGAGAAGATTAAGGAGAATACTAAAGAAAAGGCTGGGTTAAAAACTAGGAGGAATGTCTACCTTGCTCTAATTGCTCTGCTAGTCATTGAAAATGCAGACTCCTTCATCTCTTCATCCAATTGGCGAAAAGTTGCAGTTCTTGGAGCTATTTTACTCGCTTTATTTTCTCAGTTCATCTATGAACAGACATTATTATCAGAAGCAGAAAAAAAAAACAGTAAATAAAGAAGAAAACAATAAGTAAAGGCTCTTCTTATATCTAATCTAACAAACTTCTGCTATAGCTGTTATCCATTACTATTTAGGTAAATATGGCATGATCTAATAACCCCAAGTAATAACTTAATACGTGGGTTTGATACATCAAGCAACTTTTCTTTTGCATCATCAACATCTGATCTTAGTGACATGGCTGCAATCACCAAAACCAATGTGAGTTTCCAATCTGATGCTTTATGAAGTTTTTCTAACTCATTGTACCGGAAAACAACAAGTTGGAATATCCAACTGGGAAGGTAAGCTTATGTCAAATAGGAGAGTGCAATTTCATGTCAAGATATCTAAACTGTAAAGAATATAAATCCAGCCTTCAAGAATTGGCATGTTGTTAAAAGGTAATTGATTAACAGTTAGGAAGGCAACAAAGCACAAACAAGAGGGAGAATAAAAGCCATTTATAGGAACTTGACCTTGAGCCTTTAGGTGCTCATGCCTCCATACCTCCAGTCATTCTGAAAGAATTTTCCTGGCATAAACCATCCTCTCATGCACGTCTAGTAACTCCTCTGAATGACAAAGATACCAGTTCTTGATTCCAGAACTTGTAAATTACTTAGGATCTCTTAAAGGTACGCAGCTCAAAGATTGCTCCCCTGGATTCTTGGGTAAGGAAGAGTTGCCCAATATTTTGAACTGCCACGTAGAAGTGTATGACTCTCACTCAGATTAAAGCCAGAATCCATAAATGGGAACTTAATAAATCCAAAGAGCCATGTTGAAGCCCATAGTCACTACTGCCCGGACAAGTATGCTCCATGTAATGACAGTTGGAAGAATTCAACCGTCTAAAACATCATCCAAGAAGCCAACTGCATCTGAAGCATCTTCTTCATCCTCTCCCATACCCTCAAACACTTATCAAACTTGCCACATTTACATAAACCATTAATCATAATATTATAGGTAACTGAATTTGGATAAGCAGAAGAATCTTCCAACAACCTCACCCAGACCTCAGTTGCCTCAACAAATTCTCTTTTTCTGAAAAAAAAAAAACCATCAATTACTATATTATAGCACATAACATCAGGAGTCACTTTTCTCTTAAACATTTCGTCGAACAATTCCAAAGCAATGACCAAGTTCCCGCCTTTGACAAGCCCATTAATCAAAGTCCAATAGCTTTGCACATTTGGATGAAAACCTGTTTTACAAATCCAATCCAATAACCGCTTCGTGTGATCAAAATGCTTCCTTTTACAAGCAACCTTAATCAAAATATTAAGTTTGCAAATTTGACTTTTTTTGCCCACTGTTTCAAAGTGCTTAAAAAGAGACTCGGCTTGTTCCCAACGATTCGACTCAGCAAAAGCGTTCAGTAAAGTGCTGTAAGATCGAATCCAAGGTTCACAACCAAAAATTTGCTTCATTATCTAATGCTTTCGCAGGCGTTGAGTTTTTGGCATAGGCATTTATTACCGTTAAAGCCACGTTACATTTCCCAGTTTCGATGAGTTGAACGATCCTGGTCACGTGCGAAACGAGTCGGAAGTCGACTAGTGGACGAAGGATGTGGTGGAAAACGTCGGGCGAGTGGGTGTAACCCGGATGGCGAGTTGCTGAGTAGAAGAGACCAAGTGCAGAGTGGGGATTTTTCTCTGATTTGAGAAGCTTGAGAACTCACTTTGGCGAGAGGGTTTTGGTGAACTGATCATGGAAAATATGGTAGTTTCCGGTATTTCTTAGTCGCATGGTTGAAACTTAATCTGTTAAGCCCACGCTACTGACAAATGGTTCCCCGCGACCAGAAAACGAGAGAAGTTTAAACTTGAAGGGTAGGGCCCATATCTATATGGGTACATGTATGGGCTAGCCACCTTCAAATATAGCAAGTTTGGGCCACCATTGAACAGATTGGAACTAGAGTGGGCTCACATAAGGGCTAGCAACTATCCTTTCACCATTTGGGCTGAAGCCTTAGAGATTGTAGCAAGTCAGGCAGAGCCCAAATGGAGATCACCTTCGTCCCTTGTTAAAAAAACAAATGGCACCAAATTCCGCTGTATTAAAGGGCAACAATCACTCTTGGAGGATCCGCCATAAGTGTCCAACGTTGACAAATAAGCTCTCAATTATCTTAAATTATTGCAACCCACTTCTGATTTTGGCTTAGTTGCCAGTTTCTTCGACAAGCCATTGGGTTTTGAGCTTCTTTTTTCTTTTTATCTCCTATATGAAGGAACATGGTGTGATGCTTTCCTAGTCACCTTTTGACTTTAGAGGCAAAAAACTTGTTGATGATGGAGCTTTTGCATGTTCAGAGAAAAGGAAAAACCATGATCTCTAACTCTGACTGAAAATGTTGTTGGGTTTGATTCCTTTTTGGCATCCCGGTAAGATGAAAAGATTAAACTTGTTAATGGGGAAATAATCATTGCTTTGTTTCATTTCTGTTTTTGCTTGAACATCTATTGGATAATTCATGCACTAAATTTTTCTTAATGAAAATTAATATCAGAGTTTAACCATGTTGACACCCTGCCTAACATTTATGTATTTTCTGTCATATCATTTAAAAATCGAAAAAAAATAAAAGAGTTTACTATTTGCTGATTTGCGGCTTAGTTATGGGAGATCTCTGCTTTTGTAAAGCTTGAAATTCTCGAAGCTTGTTAAATATGATCATCTGAGGACTTCCAGCAGGATCCTGCTATAGGCTAGGCAGTGAGCTTTAACATAAGTGAAACAAAATCGAGAAAGTGAACCATTGAAGCTCTGAAATTTGTTGGAAAGTTTCAAAAAGAGGATGAGATTTTTTTTTTCTTTTTTTGCTTAGTTGTATAAAATGATGGATTTGGCAACTATTCCTGCTCCATCAGTATTCACATTATTCGTCGATCCATTCATGCATCTAATTCAGTTCAGCCAACTAAACTCAAAAAAAAAAAAAAAAGAAGCACTTCCTCTTGCTTTCGAACCACCTTGCGGTTTGAAAGAAACCGGCCATCGAAGGTCTAAAGCTGCTAAGTATGCACTAGCAGAAGCCCTAAACTCCGAGAAACATTCAAAAGCAAACTGTGAAAAGGGAGCTGATTGAAGCTAAAATTATTTAAAAAACCACTACATAATGTTAATCAAAGAAGTTGAACCACATCAATTTGCAGTAATGATCCCAAGATAGATTAATAAGACCAAGATCGAGCAATTTCTTATTTAGGGGCTCTACGCGCCAATCTTCACAATCTATCTCATGAAATTCATTGTTGCAAGGCTTGCATGGAAGTTAGTTTAATCAGTTGATATGGAGCCGTATTTCTTGTCCTGCATGGATTGATTCGTGACAATTAGCAACTTCAAGGGTGGCATGAGCCCACATCCACATTCCACACCCACTTCCACAACGGTACACAACATGCCAAATGCCATTAGAAAACATGCTCTTACAAATTTGCAGCCTTCACCACCTATCAACCAACTATGCGTAAGGCAAAGAAATAACACATCTCTATTTTAGTTGGGCATATTCTGTATGTCCATGCCTTTTCTGGTAAAAAAGCACAGTAGAACAGAACAGAAGAAAGGAAAGACTACAAACGTTTTAACAAAATGCGATTAGAAACAAGAAACACAGAAAATTTTGTTACTTGAATAGTGGAAGAAGCATGCCACTCACAAGAAAGGCAACAATTTTAGGGTACTTTTTTTTTTTATCCAACCAACCAGCAAGAATACATAGGCATGTGTGATTACACAACAAATGCAGCAAAATTAACAACATTAAACCAAAGAAACACCTTATGAATCTCAAATTCAGTACAACCTCAGTACGCTCCTAGCAATAGAATGTGCATGGCTTGCCCTGCTTTTGCCTGATCCACCTCTCCGGCTGCCCCTCATCGGTGTCAAGTAGAACCTTAACAGTCCATTGTCAATGTTATTTGGTGAATATCTTGCACTCCTATTCTTCTCCAACACACACTCATCTCTCTTCTTCTTACTATGCCCACCATTTGACTCAACACAGTTCCTCCTTGCACCACCAAACGATCCACCAAAACTGCTAGAATTCCTCCAGCTTACGCTGCTGTTGCTCCTTAAAACCTTCGGATTAAAACCCGCTCTCACATCTCCATTCCGTTCCCCTCTCAACTCGGGCCAAGATTCTGAATACGACCTCTCCACACCATTAGCTCTACCATATCTATCTTCATCCTCATCTTTGTTAACACTCCTCCTGTGAATGAAGCCCCAAATGTTCCAAGCTATACTCCACCTCCGCGACTTCTTAGTCGACCCTTTCCGTTCCCCATTCCCAATCATAGACGCATTGTCTCTAAAGCCAATCTCAAAAGTCTCGGAATAATCATCCCTCAAAGAATTGGAGTTTGAATCCCTGGAATCCTTATCCGGCACAACGAGTTTAGGTCCATGGAAATAATCAACAGTTGTAGGAGAAACCTTTGCATTAGAAACCGACTTCATTTCATCGATTTCAGCCACTACAGCTGCAGCAGTCTTCCTAATAGAACTGGACCTATCAAAACTCTTTCTTCTCCTAGAAGAAGAATCAGAATAATAATCCCTTGTCTGAGCTGACCCTCCAGGAAGAGATTCATCCTCATCGATAGAATTCATAGCCGGCGGATCCTCCACAGGGATTTGAGTATCAGACCTCGTAACATGATGAACTGGAGCATCTTCAACAACAGAAACCATTGTGGGCATTCTCGGAAACGTTCTCCCAATCAAATACCCATCCCAAGAAGCCCTTGGTTCATCAAAAGAATATCTTGGATCATCAATCGACATCCTTGCTGCATCAAACGACATCCTTGCTGCATCAAATGACATCCTTGCTGCATCAAATGACATCCTCCCAGCATCAAGAGAAAACCTGGGATCCGTGTCACAAGACCTTCTCCCGAACCCATAATCCGCAATCTCCGATTGGGTTTCTCTGTATTGTCTTCCAATCGGCTTCTCCACTGGCAATCTCGCTGACCCACCTCCATTTCTACTCTTTTTAAGCTTCTGTTTTTGCCTCCATTTTTGCAATTTCTTGCTGAAAACTGATGCAGCTGACCAGAAACTCCCAGCAATCTCCTTAAAATCTCTTCCAGAAGCCTTCTTTGTTTGCGAATCAAGATCTATATGGTCCTTCATGGGCTTCAGCTCCTCTTCTTGACACAGTTCCTTCTCGTATTCTTCCACAATTTCGTCAACTTTATCTTTGATTAAATTCGCAGTAGAAACAACCACATTGGGTAGTTCTTCTATGATCTCTATATCGTCTTCGTGATCAGTTTCACTTTCAGTTTTGTCTTCCTCTTTGCTTTCAAAAACAGGACCTTGAACAACACTTGAAGAAGAACCTAAATTTCGTGCTTCAACCTCAACAATTTCAGAAGACCTTCCGTTTCCAGCTGCTTCTTTTTTATGTGGGTTCCTCTCGTCGTCTTGATAAAAGAGTGACCAAAGCGTGTTCCGAACCCTAACGTCACAAGATTTCCTCTGAGGCTCAAAAACCCCAGAGAAAGCCTCGTTTTTTGAGGCCGAAAAGGACTTTGTCCTTCGGAGCTCGGGGAAAAACCCGGCTCGCGTACCACCTACTCCGGAAGGCTTGAAAATGGCTCTAAGTGCAGCGGTGGCGGTCGAAGTAGTGGCGGCGATGGGTGGTTTCCGAGAAGAAGAAGAAGAAGAAGAAGGCTCGAGAACAGCGAGACGTTCGCAGAGGCATGAGGGGCAAAAGCCAGTAAAATGCTCTTCAGGGTGGCGGTCACAGGAAGTGGATGGACGGTGCGGCTGCGGAGGTTGTGGCGGCGGTGCTAATGCTGGATTTGGTGGCTCCACGTTGGGATTCATAACCGGTAGTAACATGAAATGAGCACTCTGCTCATATTATTAGCTTCAATAAAAGAAAAAAAAATGGAAAACTTAAGAGAAAGGGAGTAATTTTTTTTTTTTTTGATTGAGCGCGTGAAAACTGTTTGGTTCCAACGGAAAGTGAGAGGAAACAAAGAGAAAGAGAAATATGGGAGCAGCGGGAAAAATTAGCAAAGAAAGAGAAATAATAAGAGAAAAGAAAAGAAAAGAAAATCTCAGCGTAGCTAGACACTACTGAACTCACTTCATAGTTCACTGCTCCTTTGATCCTCTCCTTTCTCTTTCTTTCTATCTTTGCTTTCCCTTTCTTTTTCGTTGAGCTTTGCTTTGCTTGCTTTTACCTGTAACTAGTTTTTCTAGGGGCACCCGCTACTCGAATGACTGTTTTGGGCCTACTTGTCTGGTCTTAAGCACCATAGCACAAGGACCAAACTAAATTAAGTAACCGGAATCAGTTTGGTCTTTTGAGATTTAACTCTCTTTTTGTCCTAAAATCAAATCTAACATTTTAGCATGGTAAATTTTATCAAGTAATAACTTATGTTCCTTTGCTTTATCATGGATCCAAAGTTTGGTTCTTAAGTTGACATTATCATCCCAAATTGGATTCAGGTTTTAGACTTTAATGCCTCTTTCTAATGCATTAGAATGTCGAAAATCAATCAAATTCTTGTGTGAAAACTAAATAAATAAGTTAAATCCTTTGTAGTCTAAATATTCTAATTTGTTATAATTTTTCAGAAATACTTTAACTGTCTTATGAATTAGTTATTTTTAAAATGAGTCATAAAAAATATAACGAATATATATTGCCTCCATGTTAGATCAAGAATGGGATCAAAGGATAAAATCGACTATTTCCTAGCAAGCAAATCTTAGCAAAATCAAGGTGAGTTTATCAGCCATAATTGCCGATAGAAATAGGGTTGGGGGTGGGGGTGCCCGCATTACAAACCCTTTAACTTGCTTTAACAATAACTATAATGTTTATTTTTTTTGCTTTGCTTTGCTTTCAGCTTTGTTGAAATTTTCTTTGTTTGAGGGATGCTTTGGATTTTCAAAGATTCCTGTCCAGAGAAAAAGCAAAAGCAAACCACGCCATCACACCAGAGAAGGGGTTGGGGCTGGGGTGAAATGGTGCCTCTTTTTCTCACATTTCGCTTTCTTTCTTTTTTTTTTTTTTTTTTACTTTCCCTTTTTCCTGTTTTGAGTTTCTTTTTGTTTTTTGGCTTTCTTTTTCTGTTTCTTTAAATTTTTTTGTTGGCTTCCAAATAAGTTCAATTCTTGGGGTATGGTTTTCCCATTTGGATTTATTTTGTGGATTCAGAGATTGTCTCACCAATTGATCAACATGTACCTAGCAAAGGTCACTCTGTTCCCCAGACCAACTTTGTCAAAGCAAAACGGGGTCGTTCAGCTTTTGCAGAGCCTGAGAGAATAACTAAACTAGTGCTACATGAGTTAAGATGACGTCGTTTCTTTGGTTTTCTTTTATCATTTTTCTTTGCCTTTTTATAATTAGTGAACGGTACATAAAATGATGGAGCAGCGTACAAAAACAATAATGCATGGCCAAAGTACATTGGCCTTAGGTTCCCCCGGTCAGCTGAGCCATTTATTGAAAAGGGTGACCTGCTTTTTTCTCTCCTCTCTCTCTCTCGTAAAAAATTATTTTTTTTTTTACTAAACTAAAAACAAAATTATATATAAGTGATCGAATAATGAACACTTACATATAAATTTATAATTCTCTGAAAAAAAAATATGTATTTCCAATAAGTAAGTTTGAATATAAGAGAATTTCTCAAAACATATATATTATACTTCAATAATCACGTAAATAATAATTTCGAATACATTAATGATAATTTTAATCAAACGATTTATGTATAATTATTCAATCAATTATATCATCAATCTTGAGATATAAAACATGAGGTTAAGTCAAATAGTAATGACTTTGATTATTTTACTCTATTTTTACATTTTTTAAAATTATTTTGACGTTTTTCTCACTTTTTTTCTAATATCTTTTATTTATTTAAATATAAAAATACGTTTGAAATATTATCTCCAACATCTTTTAAATTTTTTTTTTAATGACAGATCATGTATGCTGCCCTTCTCAACCTCCATTAAACTCTTTAACCACTAAATCTTAAGTTACATAATCAATATGAAAGAAGTATTAATTGCTTGTGAGATTTGCAAAATCATTTAGGAAAAATTACTTTCATTTTTTGGTTACTTTTTTTTTATCACTTTTTTGTTTCAATTTGATAAGCCTCTTTTTTCCATAGAATTTATTCTAGAAAATCGTAAATTACTCCTATTTTTTTTATTCGTATATCTTTTTAAAATCTTTACTATAATTTTTTTTAAAGGATTCCAAAACATGGGAAAACACATTATTAAAGAACTTGATGTAACTTTCACATTCCATTGTAATTTGATTTCACAACATGATTTTTTTTTCTAGAACCTAATTCGTTTGAAATTGTCAAAGTCACCCCACATTTTTAGTTTGCATATTCATGCATTAAAATTAGATATGATTCTTGCTTTTAATCACTATGACCCTTTGTTCTATCTTTGACCAATTATTTCATTAACCATGGTTGATGAAACATTTTAAACAAATAAAGGGTTAGCAAAAGAAAGAGGGATTAAAGAAAAGGTAAAACCATGTTTTTTTTTTTTATATTGATTCCTTATAAAGGAGAGTGTGGGACAACCCCATAATTATAAATAAGAAAAAAAGAAGAGCCCTTCCTTAAATAAGTTCTAATAAATTTTTGTATAATGAAAAAAATTTATTATATGTTCTAAAAGGCATTGGTTAAAAACTTAAAATGTCACTATTTATTTCTTTTATTTTTTATAAGCCTTTTTTTGTCAAGTTTTTATCTTATGTGGTTGGACAAAAAATTTATTTCCATTATTTGAAGATAAAAATTTATAAAAACACTTGATTGTATTAAATTTTTTTTATTTAATATGAAATAATTAGTTACTTAAGTACTTTCTCCATCTCAATTTATTTTATTGGTATTGACTTTTATAGAATTTTAAAAAAATTAATTTTAATATATTTAATATTAAAATTAAATTTTGTATAAAATTAAAACTTCATGAATTTTAATATCAAAAAATTTAAAATTTTGTAAAAAATAATTTTAAAATATAAAAAATAAAAATTTCAAATGTTCATAAAAAAATGATATAATTTGATAACATCCTAAATAAATTAAAAAAATGAGGCAGAAGAAATATATATTAGATGAAAATAAAAAAAGTAAACAAAGTATGAAAGTAAATAATTCGTACAAAGAGGAATAATGAGAAGATTGGCCCAAAAAAAAGGAATAATTAGGAGATGAGTGACACTCGTGCATACGTATGGATCAGGTAGGCTTACCTGCACCGTATGGTGCATACAGGTCAACATTCGACATTCAAGCATAGATTGATTTGGGTGCGCGTGGGAAGCACGTTTGAATCTCCAAAGCCCAAAGGGCAAAAGGCTGGGGACCACGTGAGAATGTTATAATAGGGCCAGTCTACCTATAGTCTATTCGATTTGATGATATCACCATCTGATGATCTGATTGAAAGCTGTAGTTATATTTTGTATTCCCACGTGTGCCCAAGAATGAGAGGAATCTCCCTCCCTTCATTCTCTCACCAAATTTCCTCTACATACGGTATTTCACCAAAAGAAAAAAACCAAATCGTATATGTATTCTTTTTATAATACAATGATAATATTTTTTAAATTTATTATTTTGATTAGATACTTTTTTATACTATTAATATAGTACATTTTAAATTTTATTAAAATTTTTTTGATGATCGAATTTTGGTTGTAATTATTTATTGATTGATTTTTTTGAATTAATTAATATGTCATTATAATTGATATTTGAAAATTATGTGTTTGAAAGAATTTATGTACATAATATATTATTTAATTAAATAAATAATAAAATAAAATGTACAAAGATAAATTAAAAACTTAAAAGGAAATTTTGATAGTAATTATTTAAAGAGCATATATAGATTAGTAGGCAACATTTTTTTTTTTTTATAATTATATAAAGATTTGAGACTTGTTTTTTTTAGCTTATAGGAGATTATGACATGAATAAAAAAAAATTCTTTTAATTGATAACTTAATTTCAAATGATAACACTAACAATTAGACTTGATTTTCTTTCCTCATTTTTATCTCATATCTTAATTTCAAATTAGAATTACAGAACTGTAAATTTGGTTCAATACAACAAATAGTTGTATACTACGTGAGAAATTTGGTGCGTAGCATGGAAATAAAAAATAATAGTTAAAAACAGAGAGAAGAGAGGAAGATTCGATTGACGAGGAAGCATTAATATGCATGCACGTATCAACGAAAGTGAGAGCCGCCGCTGAGTCACGAGTGAAATGAACCTGAACCCTCGCCGGCTACCCTGAGCCTTTGCTAACAAAGGCCACCTGTCCCTCTTCGGGTCCACCACACCTCCTCCTTTCGGTTGCCCTTTCACGAGTGTCCCCAAAATCCAAGCTCCCTCCGTCCCCGCCCTCGCCCTCGCCGCAGTCGCATGTGCCACATGAACATCAACACGACAGTAAATTTATTAATTTAAAAGATGATATAATAATATAATATAAATATAATAAAAATAAAAATATAATATAATTTAAAATTTTAATAATTATTATTTATAAATTTAATAAAATAAAAATTATTTTATATTTTTATTTCGATATAAATTATAATATATAATTTTTATATAAAACATAATATAAATACATAAATTTTATATTTTATTCTATATAAATTATCAAATGAAATATTGTGGTGGGTGGCCAATTTATAAGCGAGTGTATAATATCTTTCTGCATGAAACGAGGCGTGAAGGCTCTACCTTTACTTTTGCCCTTTTTTATTCAAATGGATAGATGGACAAATAGTTTTTGAGAAAAAAAAAAAAAACCCAAAGAGTTTAAAGCTTTGTCTCACTTTATCATTTTCTATCTAGTCTCTTGGCTTTTGTCTTTCTTGGCTTTTGTTTGTTTTGATTGATTATTTAGAAATTTTAT